CCCCAGGCTCCGCCCCCAGCCCCCCCCAAATGGACGACAGCTCCCTGGAGGCTTCTCCTTTACTGGCAAAGCCCGAAGTTAAATGGGGGGGGATGACCACAGCAAAAATGAGGGGCTCAGAGGGAGGACGCCATGATGCTGGAGACGCCTGTGGGAGAAGGAAGAGAGTGAGGCGGGTGTCATGGGTCTCCCCAAGGTGTGGGGGGGGTCTCCCCGTTCCCCAACACCCACTGTCGAAGTCGATCTTCTCCACGATGTTCTTGGGTTTGATGCTCTCCTCCTGGTTGCAGATGAAGATCCGCCCAGGCTCCGGTTCCGTCCACCCATATTTGCTCATCCAAACCTTCAGCTGAGCCTCTGGAATAGGGGGGAGATATGGGGGGGGGCTTCAGTCCCCATCCCACCCCCACGGCCCCCTCCCCAAACTCTCTGGTCACCCCCTTACCCGAGAGGTCCCCCAACATCTCAGCCAGCAGCCAGCGGTCGATGTGCTGGTAGGTGATCCCCACCACGTGGCAGATGACTGCGGAAGAAGACCCCACGTCAGCCGTCGGCCCCCCCCAACTCCCTCCCACTTTGTGCCCCCCAGGGCCCCCCGAAACTTCCTCACATTTCCTTACGGAGTCCTCGAAGCCGGTGATCCCATCCAGCAGCTCCATGTTCTCATCCAGAGCTTGCTGCAGAAGGCAGGGGGGGCATCGTTAAGATCCCCGGGGGGGGCAGATAATGAGAGCTGGGGAGTGCCCTGACTCCTCTTAGATTTGGGGTGCCCCCCATCCTGAGCAAGACTCACCCAGAAGGACTGGAAGTGGCAGGTCTCCAGCAGCTCCCCCAGGTAGAGGATCTGCCTGATGGGCCTCTCCTCCTGCTGTGGCCAGGGGGGGTCAAGGAAAATGTGGGGAGAGGGGCCCAGAGCTGCACCCCACCCACCTCTGCAGCTGCTCCCCCAAATCAGCCCCCCCCCCCGCCAAGTCCCTAAATTCATCTCTCCAGGTCAACAGCCAGATGGTGAGGGGTCCCATGGGGTGAACCCCCCCACCAGGGAGGACCGGAGGGGCCTGAGGGGGGAGTTTGGGGACCAGGGTGGGGGGAGAGGTTCAGGGGCTGGAGG